TAAGCAATGTTTTTCTCGTGCCTTTTTTTCCTTTTCGCACGTTGCCTATCCAACATGCAAAGTAATTTTCATTTTAAGATTAAAAATACTTTTATGCATCAGAAAATTTCTTTTATTATTTTATCTCTTTTGTAAGGGCAGAGGTTGGGAGCTGCATATAGTAAAAATGTTAGGGTGGTTTCATTTCCACTTTAGGAATTATAAGGATGTTTAAGGATAACTACCTTCCCACAACTGGATGCAGACAGTGAAATGCAGTAGGAGTTGAGATTGTGGGTGTAAGCACTCAACTCCATACCCTTAATTGTAAAGTGAGTGCTCATCTCACCTCAACTGAACAGGAGGATGGCACCATAAAGGAGGATTTTGGGCATAAAAAGGAAACATTATAATTCCTAATAACAAAGAAGAAGAAAAGATGAGGTAAACTCCAAGAATCCTGGATCAGGGAGTAATAGAATGAAATATAATAAGAAACATGGGTAACAGATAAAGAAAGAAGCATACCTGATAGCAAAATCCAGAGAGAAACTGAAAGGGTAAGGTCATTTCATTAATGGTAAGGTACTACCTAATGGAAATCAGGTAAAGGACATAGTCCAAGAGATCATTCCTAAATGAGGAGAAAGAAATTCGGCTGATGGAGGAGGAGTAGGAGGCACATTAAGCATGTGGTAATTCACAACACACTGAACAATAGCTGCAACTCCAATGACAATTAACAAGCTTCCAAAAGCCACAGTACAAATAAGGCCTAAGTGTGAACAACGTCACTCACTCAGGACTAAGTATAAATCACTATTATTTGAGCATTATTGAGAAAATTAAATACAGGTTTTGAAACAAAAGCCAAAGAAAGTCAAAGTTTGATTAGTGTTGTAAAACTCAATAAGTTGTATTCAGATGAAAAATTTAAAAAAGGACTGATCAACATAATGCTGAGGAGAAGAATGAAGTTTCACAAGTGCAAGTGCATAGGAGAAATTAATGCACATAGAGGTGTGTTACCCTCCTATTAGTGGAGGGTTTTTGTTGCATGATGACATCATGCAGTAGCACAATTCACATGAAATTAGGTGGGAGTTTCCTCAAGGATAGTGGCATGAAAATCTCTCTGGCAGATGCATGAGGAAGGTAACTAAACTGTGAGGTGAGGTATAATCTCAGAATTATAACTGGCAAGTAAGCAAACTTATGATCATAGAAAATACAAAGCATCAGAAAAATGAAGCACAAAACAAAAAAACCTGATAACTAGAGTGCTAACTTTTAGAAAGCGGTCCTGAAGAAGAAAGGTCAGTTGTAATCTTCAGGTTATTTGGTTTATTGTGTTTTGCCACAGTAAGTAAATAATTCCTTACCATTATCTTCTGCAAGAAGCTCTGCAATGTGGGCAAGTAAATGAGACTTCATTTGTAGTTTAGCCCGGCTTTCATTTCCAAAACTATGGTAAGCTTGAGAACATTTGACAGGTATGAAAAAACATTTGTAAGAATAATTTCTACGTATTTCATCACAAGTATGCTCTGCAAACATTTCGAGCAACATTTTGTCTGATAATACTCTTATCTGATCTAAAGTAAGAACATCAGCTTGCTGGAGTGGTCTTCTCAAGTTTGATAACTAGCACAAAAGAAAAAGAAGACAAAATTAAATTTTTTAGCCCACATTAAAAAGAAAAGTATGACAAATATTTTTTTAAGCTTACAAAATAATGTTATATGAAATAGTTAAGATTAAATAACAGCCAAGGAAGTGAAACGTTAAAGCACAATGAAGAACAGACATTTGTTATATACACTCAATGGCAAAAATATTAGAAACTCCTACCACATCATGTTTATACAAAGTACGTATTTACATATCAGAAAAATAAGACCTTCAGAGGTCTACAAGTACAGACATTAAATTATATGAGCATCATATGTCATTGTAATTGGAAAGACAACAGACTTACAAACCTCTGAAAGAGGGTTACTGCTGGGGCTTGAATGCCACGTACCTCAATTGCAAAGACTATCAGAAACAGCACCCTACGGGGGCTGTTTACTAGTATTTACTAATTGTAGTATTCATACTTCAGTGAAAAAAATGTTTAAAAATAACATTTTCTAAAAAAAAAGTTTTCTGGGAAGTACTGCACGGGAAAAGTGTTCTGATTTTGCTGATATGAATTATAATATTTTTAGATGGTGAAAGTGGTACCCTTTATTGAAAAAATAACATTTTTTAAGAACTCCATTTTTAGTACTATATTTACAAATTACATTAATAAAGATATAATTAAACCCTCACCCATAGTCCCAGTGAAAGTTATGTCCTTGTTGTGAGGAGAGTACTTTTATTTAAAATTGTGTTCTGTGGTAAAGAAATGGTTGTTGTACATACCGTGATTATTTTTCTAATTGTCTGAATATTGAATACCCAAAGAGTGAATTTTTTTTATGGATATTTTTTTTATGGTGCCATTCAATAGATGATGCCAAATTGTATTTATTAATTCAGACACATACATAGATAGATACACAAATACACA